AATTAATAAAAATCAATATTTTTCGACCCTGACAAATTTTGTGACTTACGGAAGTTGTAACGTTTGCTAATCTGCAAAAGCTATTCATCACAAAATTTTGTCTCTTTTTTTACGAACTGAGCAGTGTGTATTTCATAATAGCATAAACAGTTCTAATCTTAGTTTGGTAAAAGTATTTTAATAATTTTATGGCTGAGGTTTACATATAATAAGTTGATTTAAAAATCATAAGGATTCTTGATCGCATTTAAAACAGTCTATTCGAATTAATCTTTTTTTTTTTGCAGAGAGACTGCTTAATTGCAGATACTTATTTGTTTCCGTTGTCTGTAGTCGACGTTAGAACCTGGGTATAATTCAATATTTCGAATGCGAGTTTTTAAGAGGAAGAAATAGTCGATCTATAAAAGATTGGTTCTACATCTTCTTGTCCTTTGGTGGTCAGTACATTTACCTGCTATTCTCTACAGTTAAAAGAGCCAGATGAGACCAAAAATGGAATACTGCTGTCACATATGGGCAGGAACTGACCAGTCTTCACTCTTTACTTTCGAGAGAGTCCAAAAGCGTCTCTACGTCCTTGGGGGTGAGGAATGATTTTCCACCCCTACAACTCATTTTTCACAGACGAAACGTCGCAAGCTTCCCGCTGTTCTGCCGCGATTTCCATGGAGATTGTTCTGACGAAGTACATTCCTTAGTTCGACCAGTTGTAACCGTTACGCACATTGTAGCGAACCAGCCTCATTTCCTTCGTATTCTATCGGTGAGATGTAAGTTTCACTCGAGCAGCTTCTTCCCGCAAACCGCTGAATATGTGGAACCGACTCCCAAGAGGATACTACCCTGATCACTACAATTTTAACCTGTTCTGGCCAAGGGATAAACGTTATCTTCTCCATATACCACCATAAACTGTGCCTCTTAATCTGTGATACTCTACCGTGAGTGGCACGTGGGCCTTGTACAGGTTGAATATCATCGTAAAAACAAAAAAAAAAAGATCTATGTATATATATCTATCTATCTTTTCTATCTATCTATCTATCTATCTATCTATCTATCTATCTTTCATATTGGTCTATCTATCTATCTATCTATCTTGGTCTATTCATCTATCTATCTATCTATCTATCTATCTCTATCTATCTATCTATCTTGGTCTCTTCATATCTATCTATCTTCTATCTATCTTCTATCTATCTATCTATCTATCTATCTATCTATCTATCTATCTATCTATCTATCTATCTATCTATCTATCTCTATATATATATATCTCAACCTTTTCATATCTATCTATCTATCTATCTATCTATCTATCTATCTATCTATCATCTATCTATCATAGGCTTTTCATAACTCCGATTCATATATACTTGTTTCTGTCTTTTCCTTTTCTTTCCCCCTTTCCTCTCTCTTTCTAACACAGAGTATCTGCATCTAACTATCTACCGCAGTCATTTTAAGCGTACTGTATTGCCAATAACCCAACTTTTAACCCGGTGTAAATATTGCCTTTCCTTTTAACTGGCGACTAAAAAAGCGCATAAACATGAATAAAAGACACAGCCACTTTTGCCCATTCTATTCATTGCACTGCCTTTTCATTATTCTGTCTGTAAACTGTCGCATAAAACATCTAGAGACTTGCCATCGTACTGCTAAATGCCCAAACGCTGTCTATATTAAACGCTTTCCTGTCTTTGCTGCTCTGAGAAATATTAGAAACAGGCTTGAGTAAATAGAACAGCAATAATAACCAATATCACAGCAGCAAGGGAGCTTCCATTTCCCTTTAGACATCCAAACCCACTCACTTAATCAACTTTCTATTTTTCCGCCCTAATCCGACTACCCTATCACTCACTCCACTGACTCTTAAATCTCTTAAACCGACGATTCCACATTACGTTGACCAACCCAATATGGCGGGCCAGTCACTGAGGAGCGATTCATTACATACACAAACTTGTGTACGCCTACACACATGCAAACACACCGCGTTATGTTCTATATGCAAAAATGGCCGCTTCTGAAGCAGTTGAGAAAAATTGGCCGTGCATCAGCAGTGGGTGGTAAAAGAGAGAAAGAAAAAGTAACGGTTTTGGGAGTAGAAGATGAAGGGATTTCTGATTGGCTACTTCCCTGCCGGGACGCTGTGCTGTATTCTCGACCGCTTGTCAGTCCCCTCGCTTCCCAGCTCGCATTTCTTAGTTTTTACTTTCTATCTCTTTTTCTCGTTTTCCGCTACTAATTCACCTGCCGCCGCACGGCCGTTTCCCGCTATTCATAAAGAATTAACAAGACTTGTGTTCATTGATTTGCCATTATACCCAATTACCAACGCGGGCTGTTCATCAATGCACTAGTAAAACGATCACCTTCGTCAGTATGATCATTTAATTCCCTACAAATTATTAACACACCTAATTCTATTTTATATTGTTTCCCCCGTCTTTCTCCGAACAGCTAGCGCGTAACGGCAGGGGTGCCCGCGTCACACATTGTTGAAGGAGTGGACGGTGTGATGTTAGTGGTGGGCTAAGGGCGTGTTAGAATGCCGGGCAAGCCGGGGAGAACCAGATTAGGGAGGAAATAATCCTTCGTTGACGGAGAGCATCAAGGGAGGTAATTATTGAATGACAACAAAGATCCATCATTTCCCACGGATGTTTCTTGAAGTTTGGTGTGCTTGAAAATTTCGGGGCAGAATCAGTTGTTGTGATAGTAGGTAACATAGGGTATTTGAACCCGTGTCGTTTATTTGGCACACACATATACATGCACCACATACATATAAACGGCTGTGAGTAAGCGCCTGCTCAACAAGCGCACACATTTACAAATCCACACGATCACGCATATACAGAGAGAGAGAGAGAGAGAGAGAGAGAGAGAGAGAGAGAGAGAGTGAGAGTGAGAGAGAGAAGGGAGAGGGAAATAAAGTAAAGGTAAACGTATGCTATGGACACAAAGGCGTAGATAATGTAAGGATCAGAGGTTGTGCGTGCATGAGAGAAAGAGAGAGAGTGTGTGCGTGTGTGAGAGAGAGGGCGAGAACTAAAGTGAGAGAGAAGAGAAAAGCACATAACAAAAGAAAGTGAGAAAAAGGGAGAAGGGAGTAAAAGAGTTAAGATATGTTAATATATATATATATATATATATATATATATATATATATATATATATATATACTGAAATACATGATGGTATTTTTCATTTTTCTTTTTCTAAAGAATCCTTTTTGAACAACACTTTGTTCAAAAGTAAAAATGAAAAAATGCCGTGCTTCCTTTTCAAATCAGTATTTATGTTCTGTGACATTAAGTCTTTGTTCATATATATATACAGTGTAACCCGGATATAAGAGACCCGGATATAAGAGAAACCCGGATATAAGAGAGATTTTCTCTGGTCCCAAATTAGAGCCATACTTACCTAAACAAAAAAGACCAAACCCGGATATAAGAGAAACCCGGATATAAGAGACTTCTTCTCCGGTCCCGACAACTCTCTTATATCCGGGTTACACTGTATATAATTCATATCCTTTTTGGAAGTACAGGGTGGTCCGAAAATTTTGTCACCTTTATATAATATAATTTTCTATTTCAGATGGCTGTCACAAAAAAAGATGGTGATCATACAGACTTTCTCGATGCTTGACAGCGTCAATGAAAGTGAATAAACTGAAACCGGTACATGTGATTAGTATTATTGTGTTACTTGTTCATATATTGTTCTCGCTACATTTTGGTAGGCTGTGACAAGACTTTCGGACCACCTTGTAGGTAACCATGAAGTTCCGCTTTTCTTTATTAATTTTAATTTTGCCATGCACGTTTAGGAAATATAGTGGACTGGTTTCCCGTTGTCTTCTCTACAGTTTGAAATTTAGATTTTTTTTCCTTCTCTTAGTATGGTTGTCTTCTAAGGCTAGAGAGCCGAGTCTATTTGCTATTTAACCCATAGCTCGAGGTGGATTGTACTTGAGCAAAAGTAAACACAACAGTCTCGTCCGGAGCTCATCGATTCAGCTTATAAACAATTACAATCGCATATCACCAATGACACGTACACCTACATAAGTATTATGTACATTTATGTGTATATATCTATGTGTATGCATACATATACATTGACTATATATAGCTGTATGCGTATGTAGTGATTTTCCAAGCGTAGCTTAGATGTGGCACAAGGCCGAAAGAATGGGGCACCCAGCGAGAATCGAACTCACTACACAGTCGTAACAAGCTTGCTAACCATTACAATCGAACTCACTACATAGGCGAGACAAGCTTGTTAACCATAACACCGCCTTGGGGTGCCCGCGATTTTCCAAGCTTAGCTTGGATGTGGCACAAGACAGAAAGTAAGGGGCACCCAGTGAGGATCGAACTCACTACTCATTTGTAATTGCTAACCATTACACCACATCGAGGTGCCCAACCGTATGCGTATGTATACATGCATATTAGGAAAATTAATGACAGTGAAAAAAATGCGTGTCGTGTCCCGTCCTATAAAGATAAACTTCATCGATATGATATAAAGAAAATTTAAGGTTAAAACTGTTTTCGTCGTTTGAGTTAATTCAGTCACAGGACAGATATATTTTTAGCTTTCCAAATTGAAAGAAATCATAAGATTTTAAGGTACAAAATTTGCTGCAAAATAGATGTCCAAAATTATGTAATTATGTAACAGATCAATTAGGCCGATGTTATAAGTGGGTAATTTGTGAACAAATTTGACAAACCGGAATAAATTCTTTCAGCAAATTTGATTCGTTTTCTACGGCTTATCAACCCTTTGCAGGTTATTCCAGAACATTTTTAGATTGTAAGAATTTCTTTTCGGAGATTAGATGGATTCATGCCTTTCCCAAGTGTATTTGCGCGCAAGTGAATATAACGAACCTAACTGAAATTGAAACTCGGCCATCCGATTAACAATTCCGAGTCGTTATCTATTCCACCACCCACATATCCAAGCTTACAGCACCTGGTATTCCCTAGAGGTCACCCACCTGACCATACTGATCAGGCTCAACTTTGCTTAACTTCGGTGATCGTACGGGAACCGGTCTATCAACGCTATATGGCCGAGAGAAAAAGTGAGCTGAACCTGTAAGAAATGAACTGGGAATTGAACTAAACACATTTCCTCGACTCAGATTACTTCTCCATTGTGATGGAGTTCATGCTTCAGTTTGCTTGTTAACTAGAGTGCCCAGTTGTCTCTTGCTGGGTTAGCAGAAATGGATTCATACAATTCCTGAGGTTATCTGTGCAAAAAGGGAATTCCACGATCAAAGCCGAATTTGAACTCAGCATGCTGCTCCCACTTTCCGGACAGGTAACCACTACACACACACACACACACACACACACACACACACACACACACACACACACACACACATATATATATATATATATATATATATATATATATATATATATATATATATATATATATATATATATATATATATATATATATATATAACTAGCAGCATGGCCCGGCGTTGCCTGTGCTTGATTCAAAAATCGTACGACTCATACAGCAATCGCTATCACTCGACTTAAAATATTTTTTGCCCTTCCTTGCCTTTTTTTTAAAGGAGTGCCCTTTGCCGTGCTGATGTTGCTAGATGCCTTACTTCTTGCCTATCTCACACTGCGATTTTTTTCTAAGCTCTATACTAAACATTAAATCTGTTACGAAAAAAGAACTAAACAAAATGAACACAAAACGATCAGCTTTAAAAAAGGACTCGTAACTGGAAAAACAGAATGAAAAAAGAATGTTAACAACAAATGCTTTTTCACACCCAACCCAGTTCTGCGGAATCAGAATCAACGTTGAGTTTAAGCAAGCTAATGAGCCAATTGGAGTAAAGTGCCATGCAGATTTAAATTTTTCCCGCTTGTGACGAATGCAGCTATTGATATTTTTTGCATGCTAGCATGCTAGTTAACATTCGTGTCAGTCAGCTGTTGGCTCTCACGCTGGCCAATAGAATCTTCCTGCCTACTCGTGGCAGCCAGCTATAGGCTCTCACTCTGGCCAGTAGAAAATGGCCTCAAACTACATGAAAACTGCCGTAGAAGCATGAAAAATCGATTATTTCCACTATCCATGGGAGTTGGGAAATGCAAAGTCGGCCTTGAACTTTCCGCTAACTTGGAGCATGTGCATGTAAATTTTGGTGCAAATCCGTCGAAAATTGTGGCCGTGCATTCGTTACACACACACACACACACACACACACACACACACACACACACACGTGCGCATCCTGCCTTTTATAGATAGAGATAATAATAATAATAATAATAGCTGGTCATTCGTATTCGAGGATACCCGTCTACTAGGGTGGCTAGCCAATCTCTATTGCAGACTCTCGCTCAGGCACATTTGTGTTTCTTAAACACCCACAGAGCCCACCTGTGATTTATACTGCAACCATGCTGAGCAGACTTTATTTACAGTTTCTGGGAGAGAGCGTGTTATCTAGAATGATCAACAATCTGAACAACACCAGCACATTCAAACCCTCGGTCACGATGACTTGTTACTTCGTGCTAGCACAGCTATCGACGGCCACAAGTGTTCAGTCTACCCAATTTCACTCACAAGGCTTGGGTCAACCGGTGATATGGTTTTCAGGCACTTTGCAAAGGTACCGCACGCTGGGATCGTCGTCCCCACCTCCAGACCGATAACACCAGGAAGTTTCCTTTCTGACAAATCGAACATGGTGCCATTCGAAACAAAAATATCGAATATATATATTGCCATCCACAGACAGGCAGTTTCGCTGTATCACAGCTCTTCAGTGTGGCTAGACTATCGATTGCTTCAAGCCGGGATTGAAACCCGACCGATTTGGTATCAGTCAGAGATTCTACCCCGAGGCTATCGTCGCAAGACAGTGAGGAAGGGAAATTTTAACGTTTTCTATGTGAAATACGTCAGTGGCTCGAAGAGCTTAATTCAATTCGGTTGAAGAGCAATGCGTTATTAACATTCTAAGCTACTGTTTTTAAAATGACTCTTATCTCAAGAGAGCTCAATGAGATTTTCCGGGAGCATATATATTGTCATCCACAGACAGATTGTTTCACTGTATCACAGCTCTTCAGTGTGGCTAGACGTCCGATTGCTTCAAACCGGGATCGAATATATATATATATATATATATATATATATATATATATATATAAAAATACAGACTGTTGGTCAATTTTGACTAACAGTCTGTATTTAGATGAAGACTTAGAGGGAATATTTAAAAGATGCATACTACTTGCTTTGATTTTTTAATCACTACACATTCTATTAGTAAGTGTTTTTTAACAGCCAATAATTTATACAAGAAGGTTCTTTTTTTTTAAATCCAGAGAGTAAAAGACAAATATAGGGGAAGAAAACAATAGAGAAAGACATAAAAAGGAGGATGTATCATCAATACGTCAAACTTTCGTTAAGAAAATTCCTGTTATTGTGTTTTTTAAGCGCTGTATTTCTTCTGTCTCGATTGGAGTATTTGATTTTATAAGTTTTTTTTTCCGTTTCACTGAAGCAGACGGTAAACACATGAGAGCGTTATCGCATCCTCTTTCCATCTTTGTTTTTCTCACTGAAACCAAAGAGCACCTCTGGTATGTCTTTTCCATGTTTCATCGCGATCAAACGGAATAGTGCATTATTTATGAGGTATCGGCAGGGCATAACGTACACGCTAACTGACTAACTAACGAACTTAGCTAAGGAGCGAAGGAACACGAGGAATATGTTTTCTTTATTGTGTGTTTACTCTTTATGAAAAGTGGTTTCTGTACGATGATAGGAAAAGTGGTGGGTAGACAAACATGCTTTTCACACAACCTTCCTCCCCAAATAAATCTTCATCCCCAATCAGCCAGTTATGTGCCATGCGTGATACACGCTTAGGCAATCATGTATCTTCCGATACATGACTGACGAAGCGGATTTTTCCCGCAGCAGGTTGCCATTTCTTTCTGCGGTAGACCAGTTGCCATCCAAGACTATAGAACTCAGTCTGTCCTGCTTTTTACCAATAGAGGGTAAGAGGAAGAGGATTCATACCTTTTCCATATGTATTAGCACGTAAGTGAATGTAATAGATTCGACTGGAATTCGATCTCGGCTCTCCGATTACTTAATCCGAACCGCTATCCATTACTCCACCGTATCCTTTTGACCGTTGTAATGCGTCATCGTCATGTCATCATGGTGGAATATTACTGCCGTGATTTGTGACCGATACATAATAAGTTGAAAAGAATTTTGTCCGACAATCGTAAACTGGGATAATGTATGAAAACATACACAGTTAGACGTCGAGATCCCGCCCCACCCTTTCTCATCATCAGACTTGTTCCCTACAGATTATTACTTTGTCTGGTTATTATATGTAAATATACATGTCAACGGATGTACATCAATGCGGACCAGGTCGAAAATGTGTTCTGGGTCTTTATCGACTCTCATGAGTTCAGGTTTTATTATTATAGAATAAATTCTCTACTGGGTCTTTTAGCAATCTTGTGTCACTTCAAATAGACGGATTGGGTCACGGTATAACGTTTTTCAAGCTTGGGGTTTAAAATGGCTATTTATTTCATTCCAACGCCAATGCCTGTGCCGTTATTTAACCATATGCAATCATGTACAGACTGTGATCTGCGAACATAAAAAAAAAACTAAAGAAAATAAATTAAAGAAATAAACTTTTAAGTGCAATAATTGTGAAGGCATTTCCAGTTTTTTATTACTGACCTTAAGTTTCTGCTTTTATGTACATAAGTAAATTTGGAGAGACGCGATACTTAAAGTGAAACTCTATGTATTTTCCTTTATCCTTTTCCCCTTCGGCTCCCTCAGCCCCCAAAAAATCCGAGATAGAAGAGAGAGGAGTACTTAAAATAAAATAAAATATCATTTCAGACAATAATTTCTCATATTCACTCTCGTTTAATTGTCATCAATCTCACTAAAAACATTTTTGATAAACTTCAGATGCTTAAAAGGCATTAACAGTATCATAGCTTTCAAAGCTAAAGAAAATTTTCACATTTTTATTATTACAGGGGCATTTTTTAAGAAAAGTATTGTGTAAAATATAGCTCCACATTATAATTCTGCTTGTTCCCTGGCTAGTTTAGTTAGCGCGTGCCCTGCGCCCTGCCATTAATTCAGATAAATAATGGATCGTTTTTGATTTCGAGGAAAGACGGAAGAAAAAGATATATGAGAGACGCTGTTTGGTTTTGGCTAGAAAAAGAAAGCAGGCAGAATAATAACAAAGAAAAAGGGCGCTTCGACGTGGTGCAATGGTTGACAAGCTTGTCTTGCTTGATCAAATACGACTAGACAGAAAGTTTTTAATGGGTGCTCTATACTTTTGATCTTGCGCCGCATCTAATTTGTGCCGCTTAGAAAATCACCGTAATAATAATAAAAAAAAATGGAAGAAAAGAAGGAAAATAAAAGAAAGGAAAGACAGAGGAAGCTATAACGCTGTCAAGTGTTTAACGTCTGTTTCTGTGAAATGGAAAACATTGTCAGTTTTAAATCTCGTCATTTGGTGTGTGTGCATATATATATATATATATATATATATATATATATATATATATATATATATATATATATTAAAAAAAGTGGGATATGATTTTTATTAGACAAAAAAGAAAAAAAATTATGATTAAATTTTGCTCTCGTCAAAATATTCTCCTTTAGCCTTGATTACTGCGGCACAAATGTTTGGCATTTGTTGCAAAAGTTTCTCAAAGAATAAGTTTGATAATTGAATCCATTTTTTTTCAACGACTGTATGAGTTCTTTTTTATTTTTTACTATTCTGCTAATTCTGGAGATGGCTTCAAACTTTTAAACTGGGTATATATATATATATATATATATATATATATATATATATATATATATATATATATATATATATGTGAAGAAATATAGTTTTAAGGTGTGCTATATTTATGGAATAAAGTGCTCAATATCAGGGATAGAGCGTATGTAAATATAAAAGTGAACATTGAAGTCAACACTCAGAGG